ATTTTTGTTGATCTTTAGAGAGAGGATGGGAGAGAGAGAGAAACATCAATGTGAGAGAGAAATATCAATTGGTTGCCTCCTTGACACACTGCAATCAGGGAGCAAACCCAAAACCTAGGTATGTGCTCTGACCAGGAATCAAACCCACACAACCTTCTGGTGCAGGGTACGATACTCCAACCAACTGAATCACGTGGCCAGGGCAGCTATTAATTATTTTAATGCTTTGCTGAAGTGGGAATTTCACAGTCCAACTGATCTTGAAGCTAAACATAAACAATATACATACACATAATATAGATATAGTTATAAATATAGAACATTGTAAAGAACTCTGCATATCCTATTTTAATATAGTGACAAGAATTGAGCAAACCTCAGAAGGGTTGGCTGTACTACTATAAACAAATCTCATTCTTAGTCACAGGTTTAAAGTCAGGCATTAAGAAATCTGAGAAATAATCATATTAATTCTGCAAAGAGCATATGTGCTATATAGTCTCCTTGATTCACTTTTAGAGATAACCTTCCTCAAATATTTTTGATAAAAAATGATTTTTAAAAATAGCTCCCTTGACATTTGCAATCTTTTAATACCATCATAATTTTAAGAAAGAATGAGCAGAACTCAACACTAAGTTATAGGAGACTGGGAAAGTGCCTGTGCTATCCTTGCCAAGATGTTTTAACTCTCTTTTTCCCCTAAAGTCCACACCCCATTTCAGGAGTTTTCAGAGATATTAACTTTGCCAGAAATAAAGACCTGTTGAACACTCTTACTGTAACGCTATCTAGTATCCTTATTTTCTCAGGCTAGAAGATAAGTATGACATATGAGTTTGGCAAGTTTTGGTAAAGGTTTTCCCATGTCATATTAACAGTTACAAAATACAATGAAATTAACAAAATTAATTGTGAATACTAATTATATGTTTAATGTTTACTAAGTTGAATTCTATAATCATAAGCACTCTGTGGCTAGCTAGTTCAGAAGACATGATTGTGAAAAACTAAGTTTAAGTACTATTTAAATCCATTAATTTACTTGATCCCATGACAGTTTTTGCATGAGAAAGCCACCATGCCATTCATTCCAACAGGTTAGTAAATGTGAATGGATTTGCAAGACTCGTTTCAGGTAGAAAATGATCCTAACAGACAGGTGATGAATACAGTAGGGGACATGTTTAGTCAATATCTTCACATATTGACACCTAATAAAGACAGAGGGTCAGAAACTAACAAATGGTCATTAACCTTTCTCCAGACATCCCTACCACGTCAAATGCAGAGGATTAAAAATTAATTCTAACAATTTTCTAATTACTCTTCCTAGATGCCAACATTAGATTAACAATATAATGTGTTTCATTGTGCTTATAGAGGCCTGGTGCATGAAATTCATGCACAGGTAGGGTCCCTAGGCCTGGCCGGTGATCAGGGCCAATCAGGGCCTTCCAGCTGCCTGCCAGGGCCTTCCTTCATTCCGTGCTGCCCTCTAGTGGTCAGCACACGTCATAGCAAGCGATCAAACTCCCCGGTCTCCCAGTTGAACTCCTGAGGAGACACTTTGCATATTAGCCTTTTATATATATAGATAAACCACCATGGGAAGAGTACAGATTTATAATAAAAAATGGAAAGGTCCTATAGTTTAGGAGTCTGACTAGTTAGATTGCATTTTCCCAGTGATCTTACTCATTTTATAATTTTACTATCAAGCTTCTAATTCATCTGTATATCCTCAGCAGTGTGTGGCATGCGCTCACTTGTACACACACACACACACACACACATACACACACACACACAGGTGTTCAATAAATGATTCCCAAATGAATAAAGGAAAGGCTATTAATGAGGTTTCTTATGGTGAACCTGAAACTTTACTGAATAATATAGAGACAAAGGGAAGCCTTGCTGGGTAATTGCTATGCAAATGAATTAGTAACTAAATAAAAATCCAGAATGCCCTCCAGGCTAAAACAGAATCCATTTAATAATTTATTTTTCTTAAAGAGGGTTTTTGTTTAATTTTGTTTTGATTTTTACTATGATTACATCACGGATATCAATACTGGGTGAAAATTCATTTTTGAGCCATTGAACATGTTTATTTTTAAAAACTTCAGTGACTGAAACATGAAGTGCCCTACAAAATCTCATTACTCCCTTTACCATGGATTCTGGGTATATGTTTTTTCATATGTCTGTTCACTGGGCACTTTTGTTTGTTGTTTTTGTTTTTAGGCTGATTGCCTTCCTCTTTGGAACCTTTGAAAGCTTCTAATCTTCTCTGCTTTGCAATTTCTAATCTCCACTGACATTTGTTCATTACCAAACCAAGACAGATGAGATCCTCAGGAATGTTAGCTATCATTGAAAATGGATCAGCAAATAGTTTATTGCAAGACATTTTCAATGGTCCTATTTGGAGTAGACTTGTAATAATTGAAATCTTGACAATTCTTTGCCACCTTTAAGAGAATCTCCTAACTAGGACTTAAGAAACAAACACAAAATATTGGCACACTACCAAACAACATTTTTCTCTCTTCTCCTTTATCCACTATCATAAATGACAATCATTTATGGCCTTTATAAACATCTAAACAAAAATATTTTGAGAACTAATGGTGTTTTAGATAGTGTACTATATGAAAAGGTAAGGGAGTTTTATTTGGACTGAAGTTAATGAAGGATATTTACCTAAAATGAAATGACAGTTTTGGGGTAGCAATTATATTTGGATTTTCATATCCTAGTAAATTATCTCAACACTAACAACACAGATTTTATTACTCACTGAATATCAGGTGATACTATTTTGGCAAGGTTTCTTATGGTTTCTAGTGCACAGCCATGGAAATGCCACTGAAAGAATATTAATACAGAGCTGCAAAATCATGGTTCATATGTTCAGATCTGAAAACAATCTCAGACTCTGGCTAGTCCAAACCCTGTACTCCAGAAATGTCAAAACTCAAATCCAGGAAACTTGGGATCTGTTCAGGGCAACAAAATTCAGTAGATTAACAACAGAACCTATGGTCACTACACCAGACTCATACACTAGGGCTCTCCTCATTTTACCAGCTAGCAATACTATAGACATGGTATTGCAGCTACTTTATGAATTTTATCTCTTAAAGCTGTTAATACCTGCATATATTAAATGACATTGCAACCAAGCCAGAAAAAAGCCATTTTCTCCATGAAATACTAGTTCTAAACCTTACTATGCAAAAGTTATGAGAGCCAAACTGAATTGTGGTCATGACCACCTATAACAGTTTTCCCCTCCTTGTTGGTTATAGAGAGAAAGTTTGGTATAAAAACGAAAATCCAGGAGATTTCATATTTTCATCCCAGAACAACTGTACAAATCCAGGCTGACTGAAGACATTAAACAGAGGGTTTCAAAGGTTGCCTTCAGTAAGTGTGTTAATAGATAAAAACATCATATCACAGTGTATTTCTAATTTCTAATAAGTGGTATGTATGTAATGAGCCTATGAGAAATATTGTAATTTTTTTATTGCTTTGCTTTTCCTCCAAAGTGAAAGGTGTGAACTGATATGGAATAGCACACAGGGATGTGTCATTTTAGAATGTGAAGCCCTGACTGGTTTGGCTCAGTAGATAGAGCGTCGGCCTGCGGACTGAAAGGTCCGGGGTTCGATTCCGGTCAAGGGCATGTACCTTGGTTGCGGGCACAGCCCCAGTGGGGGGTGCGCAGGAGGTGGCTGATCGATGTTTCTCTCTCATCGATGTTTCTAACTCTCTATCCCTCTCCCTTCCTCTCTGTGGAAAATCAATAAAATATATTAAAAAAAGAATGTGAAGAGAAAAATTATTTTATGGGGTAACTTTAATGGGGTGTGCTCCTTATTCTACTCTATTTTGGAGTCCATGACCTTTCACTTTGGAGTCAAGTTAGCAATATAAGGTAACACAGCAAAAATAATGAAAATTAATACAAAGTTTACGTTGGCAAAATGCTTTAGAGGTCTCCAGTTGGAATCTGTTTCAACCACCTAAGAAACATTTCCAAAAGATGCTTTAAAACACAATGGCAAACTTTACAGTTTGCTACTAACAGGCTGCTTACAAGTATATAGTACTTGTGTGAACTAAATACCATATACTGAAATAGTCAAGAAATAATTTTTTTTTTCTGTTAGGAATGTGTTGTAGGTACAATAGCACTTATTAAAACCAAAACCACCTTAAAGATGGGCCCACAAACCTTGCTGTACAAGGTTTCGTCCTCAAAGAGCAAAGAAAACTCTCCAAAGTGATTCCTGAAAATCGGTGTTTCTGCCACACTCTCTTCCTCTCCTTTCCTCAAGACAACTCCCTCCTCCACCAGACCCTAGGATTCTAAAATCAAACGATTCTACCTGGAAGCTAAAGTATACACGCTCACACCCCCAAATTCCTAACCTCATCTCTTCTTTAATATCCCACTGCAAGTATCTGCCCTGCAGGATGCTGAATCTCGCCAAAGGGGGGTTTCTTCTCTCTGATTTCTTTGACCTTTACTCTTCTGACCTCTGCCCCCTTTCTCATCCGTCAGTTTCTCTTCCCTTTCCCTGATCCTATAGTTCCACAGCGCTTGTCTACCTTGCCTCCTATCTTTTACCAAATCACGCCTCAGCTTCCTACAGCATACTGAGGTGGCCTGACTGGAAGAAAAATTATGGGCTTTTTTCCCCTTCAAACTCCTGCCTTGTGAATGAATACCTGAGGTTCCTTTTCCTGGGCGCCCCATCCTTTTCGGGGTGGGGGGAGAATTAGGGAACCCACTCTCTGCTTCAGTCCGTCTGCACACTCGGGGCTACTTCATCGAGGCGGGGCGGGAGGAGCTTGCCCTCTTACTGCGCCACAGCAGGTGGGGGGTCGGGCGGGTGGCGACCCGCGCCCCTCAGATCTTGGACAGGCTGAAGAGAGGCAGCGAAGGAGATGGGCCCGCCCCCAAACCCCGCACGGGAATTCACCTTCTCTGAGGCAAGGGCGGGTGTCTACTTTAAAACTACTGTCCCCCCTCCCCGCCGCCGCCATAGTGCCATAGTGGAGGCGCCAAAGCCTGCGTCTGCGCTGTTGCGACAGCCACCTGCAGGCGAGCTGCCAGGGGTGGAGGTGGCGAGGAGGCAGACTCAATCACTGCCGCCGCAGCCACCGCGCAGGCGGTGTAGGAGGAGGAGGGGGAGGAGGGGGGAGGGGGAGGGGGAGATGGCAGAGAAGGTAGCTTCCTCAGGGGAGGACTCTGCCACGGACGGTGTGACTGCGCTAGGCGCCGCCAACGCAGCGAAGCGCGGACAATTGCACTTGCGCCTCGCTCCCCTTAACCCCCTTAGCCCCGCCTCCCTCTAAGCCCCGCCCCTTTGCCCCTCGGTCTCTCGCTTCAGCTTCTGCCTCGTTCTAGCTCCTTCTCTCTGCCAACGGTTTAGACCCGCTGGCCGCCTCTTCCCTCTCTCCACTGCTTGGCGTCACACTTCTCCCTTCTGTGGAGAAGCTAAGATGACCAAGGGCAAAGGGCAAAAAGCGAGGGATGTGAAAGTACCTGGGCCTCACGAGTCATCTAAAACCAATTCAAGGGGGAAAATAATATCTGGAAAAAACAATTAATTGATTCCACCCCCAAAATATCTCTAAAATACATCTCCTGTCAGCGAGAGGAGTTAGCTTAACACGGGCAGACAAGGCAGGGGTCCAGTGGAAAACATCAGTATGGAGTACAGAAATAAGCAGCATCCTTGGTCATGACATACTATGTCCCCATGAACATTGGCGTGTCTATCAAATTACCCATCTAAATTAAAAACCTGTGAATCCAGTACCCAACCAAAGAACTAGAATATTGCTGATAGTTTAAATATCCTCACCATCTTTTCCCAAATTTCCCTCCCAGAGAAACCAATATCTTGATTTATATCTATTATGTCTGTCTTCTCTTTACATATATTCTTATCACATGGATATGTGCCTAAACAATATTGTTTAGTTTTTATTGTTCTCAAATTTCACGAAAATGTGTATCTTTTCTATGTAGCATTTTGGGACTTGATTCTTTCACTCAACATTTTGTTCCTGAGATTACCATGTAACTGTAGTTTATTCATTGTCAGTGCTGTATAATACCCCATCCATTTCTGTTGATGTGTATGTGTCCTGGTGCATCTGTGCAAAGTTTATTTTAGGTATGCCATCCTTTCCAGACTCACTTTCATTGCCTTATTTCAAGTCCTCATCATCTCTTTTCAGAACTATGGTACCTGTCCCAATGGCCACCTTTCCTCTGATCTCAATCCCTCCAATCTATTTCCGTATCGCTGTCATTTATCGCTAGCTCTCCGTTGCTTGTTGGATACTCAAAGATCATGGCTTCCCACTATTATCTCCCTAATCTCATCCTCTTCTGCCCCCACCTCGCCACTCGTACTTTATGATTCAGCAGTATTAAATCCTCGTATAGATTCTCGTGAAGACTATGATTTTTTCCATGATGCAATGTAATTGTATTTGTTTCTCTTGCTTCCTGAAAGGCCCATTTCCTCACATTAGGCACCTGCCTAGTAAACCCTTCTACCCACCTTGAAGCTCAGATAATACATCACAAAATACAGTTTGTTTTATTTTTGACACCCCGTGCTTCAGAACAGTTAATTCCTAAGACCAAGTTCTCAAACCAGTGGACCTTAGGTCTAGGTCTCTAAGTCCTGGGTTCCTAGATCTGGCCCACAAATATGTTTTGTTTAACTGCATAATTGTTTATTTACTTTCTTGTCAATATTTGAAAGGGGCATTTCATGAAAAAAAAGTCTTTTAAAAGCATTTGAAGATTGGCACTAGTAGCTGTGTACTGGAGCTGAATAGCAAATTCTGAGACTTGAAGTGCTGGGCTCTTAAGAACATAATGTTTTGTGGTTCTAATTTATCCGATGTTATCTGAGTAATTGGGTGGTTTCTCTAATCTTCTATCATGTCCTTTAATTAGTGCAACATTTATTCATCAAAGAAATTATTGGATAGGTCATGCACAAGAAATATTCCACTGAAATAGCCAGTACATCAAGATAAGCATAAAAAGAGAGTGTAATTTTATTCCTTCCCATAAGGAGAGGAAGAGAAATCCCTCAAAAGCATTGTTTCTCAAAATGTGAATCCCAGCCCACTTGTAAAGGAATATTCAATCAGAATCTCTGAGGAGTGTGGGAATTATAAAACCTTGAACATTGTTGTTATTTATGTTGTTGAAGTGTATTTTATTGACATGAAAAGTTTTCATATGTACATATATATTTTTATGAAAAGGAGGTTGTACAGAACTTTTACAGAAAAATATCTTTGTATGCCTAATGTATTTGTGTCAAAGTATACACCTTCATATATTCTCATTCTTGTTCTCTGCTCCCCACCCCATCACACAGTCATAGAGAAGGTCTAAAGGGAACATCCTACCAAGTGATTTATCATCTCTGCCAGAATTACTCTAAATGTTCCTTATGTTTTATAAACATCTACAAAGTTCTCATTGTTTGAGAACTATAGAAAATAGTTTTCCATAACCTGAGGTTATCTTCTATGATTGGTTAAGGCGGGAACATTTTTAAATATTGGTCCCTTAATCATCCAGTGGAGTTTTGGAGTTAGAAAACAATTTCAGCACTCCATTTCCTCTTATTTCATGTGCACCCCTGATTTCTAATTTTTCATTTTTGTGTTATTCATCATCTTCACATCACCATGCAGCTCTTGCTTTAAGAGACATCAGCTGCTATCTTAGTCCTATCTAGGGTTGCTCTTTCAGCTAGAAACTGTTCACTGTATTCAAGTGATAATGAAGTTAACTAAAAGTAATTGCACAAATAGTGTGCAGTAGAGTATTTTTTTAAATGTAGAACTAATCTTACCTCCCAGCTAGTAATTATTTTCTGGATGAAAATAATATTAGAATAAATATCACTATAGCTATATTTTTGGTTATTGCTAAAGGGTGTATTTCACATGGGCATTTAAAAAATAGTTATCACTATTATAGAATTTAAGATTTTATGCTATAAGAAGGGTCTATTGCCCTAGCTGGTTTGGCTCACTGGATAGAGCATCAACCTGCGGATTGAAGGGTCCCAGGTTTTATTCTGGTCAAGGGCACATACCCAGGTTGTGGGCTTGATCCCCAGTAGGGGACATGCAGGAGGCACCCAATCAATGATTCTCTCTCATCATTGCTGTTTCTTTCTCTCCCTTCTCCCTTCCTCTCTAAAAACAATAAAGATACATTTTTAGAAAATTAAAAAAGAAGGGTCTATTAGCTTGATGATAGTGTGTGTGTGTGTGTGTGTGTGTGTGTGTGCGCGTGCGCACACGAGCTGAATAGCCCAGATCCAGTTCTTTGAACTCCTCTTCAACAGAACCACTCACCACAAGTTTTTACTTTATGAAAAATTTGCTTTTAAAATAGCCCTCTTCTGTCTGGCCAGCATGGCTCAGTGGCTGAACATCAACCTATAAACCAGGAGGTCACAGTTTGATTTCCATTCAAGGCACATGCCCAGGTGTGGGCTTGATCCTCAGTAAGGGGGCGTGCAGGAAGCAGCTGATTGATAATTCTCTCTCATCATTGATGTTTCTATCTCTCTCTCCCTTCCTCTCTGAAATCAATAAAAATATACATGTTTTTAAAAAGTAAATAAATAATAAAATAGTTCTCTTTTGTGTCATTTCTGGTCCTCAGAAGACAACAGAATAAAGTCTCTGGACAAAGAAGTTGTCCACCAAGACAAATCTCTGGCAGACGTTTTGGATTCAGACCCCAGAATGAAGACAGCTATGGGTCTGATGGAAGATTTGTTTCCTCAAATTGTTAACTTGCTGTAGCTAAACAGATAAAGAGGAAGGTGGTGTAGAGAACTGTCAGCTGCCCAGGATATGAAAGCAAGAGGAGGTGAAGACAAGAAAGCAGTTGTTGGTCAACTGTCCTGCCTACTACAGTGTGTCTGTTCCCAAAGTGGAACTTCTAACATAATTAAAGATACCCCAGAAGAAGTGAATAAAGAAGAGGAGCAGGGAGATGTAACAGGAAGAAGACCACGCTGATGGGAAGCCTTACCCACAACCTTGAGACACTCCAGAAAGAGAAGGAATGTCTGCTAATAGCCATCAAGCTCAATAATGCCTTGGGAGAAGAGGTGGAGACTTTGATCAGTGAGCTCTGCAAGCCCAGTGAGTTTGACAAGTACAAGCTATTCATTGGGGACTTGGACAAGGTGGTAAACCTGCTGCTCTTCTGGTGGAGGCACCTAGCCCACATGCAGAACTTCCTTATTGGCCTTGGTGAAGATGCCAGTAATGAAGAAAGGAGCCCTCTCAACAAGAACAAGAAGGTCCTGGCGAGGCAGCACAATGATTCCCAGGTGCTTAAGGATAACCTGGACCAAGGAAATATGTGGTCAATTGGCATTCTGGCCAATTACCTTTCAGAGGAACAACTCCTGGTTACTAGCACTTTGTGAAAAATGAAATCAACACTCCTCACTGAGCAGTGAAAACTGGAAAAGATAAAATGGGGCCAGGAATAAGTGAACTGTCTGCTGAAGAGTCTTCCCTCGGATTTCATTCCCAAGGCAGGGGCCCTGGCTCTCCCTCCAAACTTCACCAGTGTAATGACTCCTCTTCGGAGATGTACTTTCACTGGTATTTTCTCAACATTAACCTCTCCACATTACCCTCTTCTAAAATGCCCAACTAAAATATCACCCTTTCTTTCAACACTATTTAATCTGAAAAATGTAACAGTAAAAAACTTTGTTTAAATTATACAGCTATGGGCAGGGGTTCTGGATAAAAGAAAAATATTGTATCCAGGAAAAAAAGCCTGTTTTTATTTCCATATCATCCTTCATGATTGACCTTATGAGAGCTTAAATGCTGCTCAGAACTTACTTGTTTCTATTATTACTTTCTAGTAGAATGAAAATTAATGAAACTGTGAGAATTGATTGGAGGGTGTTTGATTGGTTCTTTTCCTTTGCATTTCTGTCTGTTATTTTTGTTTTGAG